CCTCAGCACCAACTCTCTGTTTTGCTTTCCAATCTCCAGATGTCACACGATGACAAACCGACTGTGGTGGAAGAGGAGCTTGAGGGGCCTACGCATTTAGCAGCTGATGATGACATTGATGCTAAGCCCAACCGGTCCTCACACAGCTCATCACTATTCAAGTAAGTTTCCTGCCATCCAGTGGGACCTAGGGCCACGCAGGCTGCCATGCCTCTGCAGTTTCCACCCACCCTCCCAGAGAGCAGCATTCAGGGAAGGAGGTTTATGCTGCAGAGGTCAGTTTGCAGAGTCCTGCTCTGGTCTGTGATAACTTTAGGGGCCTGGGGTGAGCTCAGTGTGGGGGATCCCCAGCTATGAGGGTGTCCTACTAGGCACTTGTGCATCTGCTTGTCAGCTGCCCAGGACTGAGGCGCAGTCCGTGTTAGAGGCGGTGAGCAGGCAGCCTCGTGGGGAGCAGAGCATGGGCTGCAGGGCCGAATCTGGGCACTGTGGGGTAGAAGGTGTTAGGTGAGTCCTTCCCACCTGTGCGCTCAGAGGCACTCCATAGAAGTGGGGAGCAGCCTGTGTACTGAGCCCCACTTGTTCATTTCTTGAGTTCACTTGTGTTAATAATCATAATCTGTTCACTTAACAAACTCTTGTAAGGCCAGCACAGTGTTGCACTTAGTCCTCTTAATCCCAGGACATGGTTCAGTTACTTATAACTGTTTAGTCGGTAGGGAAACTGAGGCACTCAGGGGTTTAATAACTTGCCTTTCTGATGACAGTGAATAAGTGGTAGAGTTGAAGTTACAGCCCAGACAGTTCCAGACTGCTCTCTAATGGCCCTGCTGTGTCCATTTCACTTAGAAGCAGGCCTACAGGGACGTGCAGGAGTCTCCTACCTCCCCTTACCCTTGATCACGGAGGGGTGGTGAGCAGTGGTTTCTCTCAAGAGGCAGGAGCTGTCCTGTGGATCAGAAGTATGTCCACTGGAGAGAGACAGTGAGGGGGATAAGGCTGAGGGATCTAACCCACACTGCAGAAGGCTACGGAGAGCGTCACAGTGCTGTGCTCTACCGCCTGTGCCACCAAGGAGGCCCACACTGGCTCACTTTCATTTGCACCTTTCCGTGCCTGTCGGTACTTTGCAGAGCAGATGGGATGATTATTACTGACACACTTTGGAAAGCACCGAACACTATAAACATACTAACAATGTTTGTTGTTGATGATTTAGGGAATCTCTGAAGTGGGTCGTCCACCATCTGTTTGTCACATTTGTCAGATTCAGGAGAAAGGCTTGTTTCCATCACCCCGGACTTGAGAGAGGCTCAGGGTGAACATCTCCTAGTTACGGTCTGTGCCAATAGTTCTCACATTTTCCCTCTACAAGGTAGCCCTTGTTCTCCTTGTTCTACTCCTTGTTTTGTTCCATACCTAACACTACTCATTGGAAATCACCCCACATCAGCGCCTGGAGAGCTTCTGTTCTTTCACAAGATTGTGTGATTTGATTAAAAGACACCCCCCTCCTTTGGTCCCGCTGGGAAGTGGCCATGAACTGGACTTTGTACCTGACTTGTTGGTCACGGTGGGAGTAGGTCACTTTTTGGATAAGCTTGTGTCTGCCGGCCCAGTTTTTCACTGAGACATGCCATTAAGGTTTTAACTAGAAATGAGAGAGGTGGGAGCAAAAGGGAAAACTTGTCTGTCAGTCCACAAATGTTTCCAAAAACAGGTTTCTCCCGCTATCCGAAAGTAGAGCATTCCTATCGGGTGTGATTTGGTGGGTTATTTTTTGGTTCAGAAAATCCTTAAAATATCTTCCATATATATGAGTGGTAATAGCAGTCCCCTGCCCAAAAATAACCTGTCAAATCATATCAAATAAGAAAGCTCTGTTTTCCAATTCGTGGTGGGGGAGGAACAGAGGAGGGAACCAACTTGTAGTATTTGGCGTGACATGCAAAAGAATAAACAACAATTGTCCTATGTTTCTGCAGAATCAGCAGCTAAGGGCTACTTTCAAATAGCTGCGGGGCCTCCCTGGTGGTGCAAGGGGTTAAGTGTCAGCGCTATGAAGTTATCTGCAACTACTGCAGCACAACTTCAATCCCTGGCCAGGGAGCTGACCCACTTGGCACAGCAGAACCTTCCTATCTTACCCGCTGTTCCCCTCAGCAGTGTATTTCAGTACCTCTGCCTGTTCTGCTCCCCCTCTCTCAGGTGAATCCTCTCACAAGCCTCTAGCCTGTACCCCAGCACTTGTATGCATAAATAAACCTTAAAAAAAATAAAAATAAAATAGTAGCTGCTCAGAGCAATCCTTCTTCTTAAGGTGAGTCTGTACTTAATCTCTGCAGCAACCTGGCAGTAAGAATTGGCAAAACGGAAGCAGTGGCACCGGCACACAGTAGCCACAAAGGGAGAGAGAATGGGGTAAGAGGGAGACCATTGCTGGGAGAAGGGGCCTCGAAGTTCCACAGCTATTAGGAGAGACTCTCGCCTCTCCCTTGCTCATTCTTGTAGAAGATGTGTCTGTGCAATAGATTTTACTCCACTTCACACACACACACACACACACACACACACACTGCTTTCTCCCTGATGCCTTCTCTACAGTCACTTCCTCCTTTTATTTGTCTCTCATGTCACATGCTTTAAGCTGATCTTCGGGTTTTTGCTTCCCCACAGTTAAAGCACAGATGGAGTTTCCCCAGGCCAGCCCCTCTTAGGAAGGTGAATTCAATGGGATTGAATTAATAATCTCTCTCTGACATGCATCTGTGACCTCAGAAGACCTGGGTGTAACAAAAAGCTGTTTTGGTTAGAAGGAAAATTAATATTGACAGACTCAAATCCAGAAAAAGAAAGCAAATATTTAGTTCATCTTGAGAAAGAAGAGCTCTATTTAGGGGCAGGACAGGTAAGGGAAACTGTACTTCGCTGAGATAAGAATCACATTTCATATTCAAAGTTAAACTACTTTTTATATCCACGAAAAATATATTCTTTCAAGTGTGTATTTATTTATTCCCCTGTTGCGTTCCATTTTTTTTAACCAGTAATTTTCTAAATTCTAACTTGATGGACACAGAATCCTTTTCTTTTTCATGCATCTTACATTGGAGCCTGTTTTTCTTATAAAAGATATTTGCCAGTTTTGTTTTGCTTATCATTGAGGATGGGCTAATGCAGCCCGAAAATCATTGCAGCTTGGTTATTCAGATATTGTTGTATTGTCAGATTGAAAATAAGCCCATATTGCAGAAGATAGGAGACTTTTGTACCTTAAAGGACTTGAGTGCATAAATTGTAGCCTTCAGTATAGTCCTTGTGTGGCCTTGAATTAGCGAAAGAATGTCCAGAGCCAATGAGAAATGGCAAGTGAGATCCCCAGCACCAACAAATGTTACTTGTAGTTATTATTACCTATAGAATGGGTACGATTGCTCCGCTTCCCCCTACCTCAGAGGCTTCTATTGAAGGCCAGTGAGTGTGTTTTTCAAAAGCATGTAAAGACCCAAGACGATAAAGTGTACATTGTATAAAAATGATGTAAAAAATATACAAAAGAAAAGAAAAAAAATAAAAATAAAATAAAATCAATGGATGTTGAATTTTAAAAAAAAAAGGCTGCAAAGCTATTTTGATGTGCACAGGGCACTCAGCAGGGATGTGGACAAGGTGGCAATAAGGAAATAAATCTTACTCCTTACGCCATGTCCTTAAGCAATACAGACACTCACTGACCTTTGTCTTCGCTGAGCTCTGAGGGAGACTTGGGAGTGGGGACACTCCATGGGAGAAGGCACCTGCTGCAGCCCAGTCTCCCATCTCCAGGCCTGGGCAGCATTTCCCTCAGGGAATGCACCTGCCACACACGGCAGTGGGCCTAGACACAGCTGAGGAATGTGGCAGCCTGCACTGTCATGTGTGACCAGGCAGAGGCTCCAGGACAGGAAATTGATGCCAGTGAAGGGCAGTGACCCCCAGCCCAGCCCACACGGGCGATGGGTGCAGACCCCTACCCCAAGTTCTCTTTTGAGCTGCCCCTCGGGGGGAAGGAATGTGAAGAAAAATCCTGACAGGAAACAAAGGCAGGGAGCGGTGTCCAGAAGGTATGAGAACAGATTCAGGGTGTTTGTCTTTTAAAAATAAAATGATATCAGGGAAGAAACTGAGCCTTGTAAACACGGGGAATCATGTCATAGCAAAGTTGAAAATTAACAATAAGGAAACTGAAGTTTCAACCTGTAGAGCTGATGTGTACTCTGGACCAAGGCAGGAGGGGGACAGCCACATCCTTTCAGAGATTGAGAGACTCTAGCAGATAAGACGTAACAAAAACTCAAGAGTAAAATGCCCTTGGACTCAAGTTTGCCAGCTACTGAGTTTAGTTTCAAAGTTTCATGCGCATTGTTACATGGAATTGCTTTACATGAATATTCAATAATTTAGCTATTCTACTGTAAATGGACACTCAGATTATTTGCTGGCAGGGATTGTCATTAAGCATAATGGTCTCCACATGTGTGGGGTCTTTTGGTAAACAGTGTTGCTTTTTGGGGGGTCCAAGTGGAGTCACTCTGTCTTAGGATACATTTAAGTCCAGTTTGGGAGATGCCAGTGTTTCTCACTGGGTGTACAAATAGGCTCCAGCAGTACGTGAGGACTCTGGGTCTGACCGTGATCGCCAGCCTCTGGTAGCCGCCGTGGTGGGTGTGTGCTGGGATTGAGTTGCGACTTAATCTCTGTGTCTCTAGCATTTAATGAAATTGCAAAGGAGAGCACATTCCATTTAAATATGGCAACTAAGCAGAGACATCTGATCCCCCCGCCCCGATCTTTTTTCGAATATGTTGCCACTCTCCTGGGCTCCCCTCTCATGCAAATAGTAAGATCAAGAGCCCAGTGCTGGCCTGACATCTTCTAAGTCCATACCTCCTTTTGTATTTCCCAGTAAGCAAAGGAAAAGTGACTCTAGGACATCTATCAAGAACCAAGACTTTGAGGCTTCATGCCAGTATAACATGGATTTTGAGAAGGTGGGCACGTGCATCATCATAAACAACAAGAACTTTGACAGAAGCACAGGTAGGTGTGTGGCCTGCTCCCTGCCAGTTTGTTGAACTTGCATTAAGACTTGTATCAGGGGCCTCCCCTGGTAGCGCAGCAGTTGAGCGCTGGGCTGCGAGGCTGCCCACAGCCTCTGCAGCACTGGTTTGTTCCCCGGCCGCCGGCGAGGGTCCCACAAAAAAAAAAAAAAAGACCTGTATCAGGGCCTCCCTGGTGGTGCCAGGGGTTGAGACGCAACCTATGAAGCTGACCGCAGCCACTGCAGCACTAGTTCCATCCCTGGAAAGGGAGCTACCCACATGGTGCAACAGACCTCTCCTGACTTGCCAGCTGCTCCCCTCAGCAGTGTATTTCAGTCAGTCTGCCTGTTCTGTTCCCCACTCTGGTGAATCCTCTCACTCCCCACACCTCTGGCCTGTACCCCAGGTCTTTTATGCATAAATAAATAAATCTTTAAAAAAAAAGATTTGTATCAGACATTCATAGGAGAAGTGCTCTGTCCCTCTGCTGTGGCAGACACCCTTCCGAGGATGTTTTTCACTGAGTCCAGGAGAAGGGCATGCGGGGATTTGGGAATGTTCAGTCTAAGAGGCCTCCATGTGTATTAGCTGCTGTGAAACAGGAACCAGAGGCCAAGAGCAGAGGTGCTGTTTGGCCTGCACTGGAGCTGCAAGTGACCACGCTGAGACTCACCCTTGAGAGGGGACTGAGATACCCACTCCTTTGAGTTTGTTTTCAATTGCTCACCGTGCACCCGGGAGCTCTTGGCCTGTGCACACCAGCTCCCAGCAGGCAGCAGGGGATACTCATGTTGACCTCTCATGTGATTCCCTCAGGCAGGGGCCCCCGAAATGGAACGGACAGAGATGCTGAGGCCCTTCTGAAGTGCTTCCGAAACCTGGGTTTTGACGTGACTGTCCATAATGACTGCTCCCGTGCCAAAATGGAAGCTGTGCTGAAGGAAGGTGAGTCTCCTCTTCCTCCGCCCCCACCTGTCTCCCTGCCCCCTGCTCCTGAGAGGGATGGGCCAGGCTGATGCTGGCAGGACACCTCTGATGGCCCCAGGGATATTTCAGTGTGGGAAGCCTGTCTTCCTCCTGGCCACTCCGTGTCTACCTCTGGGGCCAGCAGGTCTCCTTCAGGAAACTTAGCTTTCCCTAAATAGATGAAGGCAGCTTACATGACAGCAAAGGAAACAGGTTCTGTATCTACAGAATCTTCTCAGTTTGAAAAGACTCAATCATAGGGAAGTAACAAATCTGTATCTTCCCATTCAGAACAGTTTGGGTCAACTTCCCCTAGTGACCAAAGGAGAAATAGTCATCCCCATAGAGCAGCACCACCTTCTATTTTTGACACAGCACATTCACAAAACCATTTCATTAGACCTTGAACACAAGCACTGCAGGATAGCATCATGTCTGTTTTATAAACCCAGGACGGAGCTTTTGAGAGGATAAGGAAAATACCAAAGGCATGGTTAGCAAGGACAAAACCAAAATTCAAGCCATGGTCTCCTGATTCCAGAAGAATCGTATTTTCTATTACACCACACTACCTAGTGGACACCATCTAGGGTATTCTGGCTTTTACGGTGAGCATTTGAAAGTAATACCCTACTAACTCATCAGACAAGACCCACAGTCAAATCATAGATGCTCTTCAATAAACTGCTAGAAAAGGAATGTGACCCTCTCTCCGAATAGCCTTTCTCATTATTTAAATACCAGGCAGGCATTTTGGCCCTTTTGTTCCTCCTCTGTTTTTCAATAAGTCCATGGCTGCTGCTAATATCCCCTGGATGTGGACAGAGGATTAGGCAAGTAAGGCCTTTTCCCAGTGGGGGATAAATTGAGGTTCACACCTGAAGCTTGACCCACAAAGAATCCTTTTATCCTGGAGGCTGGAATCAGGTTACAGAAAAGCAAACTGAAGTTCCAAGAATTCAAACAGCTTTCCTAGAGTCCTACAACTAAAGCACCAGGGATGGCTTTCCAAAATAGTAAGTCCAGGGCACCAAAGTTCCTGCACTTTGTTGTTCTTGGAATCCACACTAGCTAAGCAACTTGTGCCACCAGGCATACACAGAATTCAATGAAAGATAATCACATTAACCCATTTTTAAATTTTTCATTAAATAGTTGTTTGAGTTGCTTGTCTTCCCCTCCCCCTCACTTACCCCTGACCTGTTCTCCCACCATCCTTCTAACCTCAGAAACCTGTCACTTTGGTTATCAGTCCATCTCATTCATCCATTCTCTTGTCTTTTCCAAATTTCTTCAAACATGAACCTTGAGACCTGACCCTCTGTTCCCTGAGGGGCCACCTGATGGAGCAGACTGGGAGCCAGGGATCCAGCTTTGGGTCCCTCCAAGCTCTGACACTGGCTACTCAGGCAGGTCGGCTTCAGGTGGGTCCTGCTACCTGCCCCTTCCATGTCCTGGGGTTGGGGTGAGGAGTAGTGAGCAAGCAGGGCTTGAGAAGTGCAGCAGGCAGATGGAAGGACTTGCCCCAGCAGGAGACTGTTCTTATGAAAAGTGAGTCATCAAGTCCATGCCAGAGCATGTCACCAGCACCAAATTCTCTTGTTGTCCTATAACAATAGTCAGTGGCTGTTTTTCATGACTGTCCATGCAAACAGTTCCAGTGAAGGCAAAACTCACACTCTCTAGCTCTGTCATAATTTGTCTGATCTGAACATAAACTATGCGGTAAAAGAATTCCAGCATCTTGGACTTCTGTTGGCAGAACCAACCCAGAATCCTTGTACAGGTAGATGCAAGGGTGCCACAGTGACTGGAATGGGAGGGCCACACCGGGCTCACCTGGCTCCAAGGCTCCCACGTGCCCTTTGGGCAAAGTTAAGGGACTCTCCAAGATTCTGTTATCAGTGATACAAAGATAAACGAGGCCTTCTTTAAGGGGCTCTTGCAGGGATTTAATAAGAGAACTCACGCAAAGTGTCCAGATCTCTGTCTGCACATAGTAGGTGCTCACAGACTTCTATGTGTTACTTCACGCCATCATTGATCAAGAGAAGAAGAAGGGAGGGTTATACCCATGAGCAGCTTGCCGGCTAGTTAGAAAGAATCCCAGACCTTAGATGAGTTTGAACTGAACCGACCATGAAGCCCTTCATGGTTCCTCTCCTCAGGATCCAAAACAACGGCCAGTCTGGCATTGGCTGGAATTTTTGTGAAATTCTTTCCTTTATAATTTTATGTTTTACCTTTTAAATGGCAGTCACATCACAGAACGCCAGGTGTACCATCTTAGCCTTCACGCGTACAGCTTCACGACATTAAGAACATTCGGGCTTTGTGTGGCCATTTCCCCATCGTCCGACTCCAGAGCTTTCTTCATCTTACAGAACTGAAACTCTGTCCCTTTTAAACTCGAGCTCCCCAGTTCCCCTTCCCCACCCCTGGCCGCCTCCACTCTCCTGTCTGCCCCTGTGACCTTGACCGTGAAAGGCTGCCTCAGACTGGGATCATAACATAAAGAGTTTATCCTTTAGTGACTGGCTTCTTTCATTCAGCACAAAATTCTGTTTTCTTTATCGTTACTTGTGTGATGCATGCTGGGCCCCTGTGCAAATAGTATCCCATTTCATAGGTACTGGTTTCCTAGGCCAGTCCATACAGCAGAGCAAGACACACAGGCCTCAGTCATCCTGTGTCACACCTGCCAGACAGCAGAGCCAAGCTCAGAGCATGCCAGCGTGTTGCCTCCCAGCATCTGAACCCATCCCGCACCTCCACACAAATTCTAGAACTCTCCCTTTCTAACTTCTTCCCACGGGTCTGCCTTCTCTCCAGAGGGGTGCTCCTCCAACCCCCTCCCATCCCCTCCCAGAGTCAGTGTCAGCTTCCAGACTGGCAGGGGATATTACAGCTGAGCTCCGGCAGGGCATAGATTTTAGCTTTTCAATGTCCACATCTCTGGCTTGCAGTTTCTGAACAGGACCACAAAAATTCAGCCTGCTTCACCTGCATCTTACTGAGCCATGGAAAAGAAGAAGGTTTAATTTATGGAACTGATGGCTTGACATCAATAAAGGAGTTGGCAGCCCATTTTAGAGGAGATAGATGCAAAACCCTTGTAGAGAAACCGAAGCTCTTCTTCATTCAGGTAATCCAGCCAATAGAATTTTCAAAGCCAAAACAATTGCAAGTGGGAGGGGAGTGCAAGTGACTTGACTTGGATTGTAGCCTTTTTACAAATCCATGTGCTATTTCAGTTGGGTTTGTAGTTCTGGGCTTTGGGGACTCTCTAAATGCTTGACATCTGCATTTGCACCGTATCACAGATTATGGGGGTTATAAGAAATTGCAAGTCTATTCTCTTCACGTAGTAAATTGACACAAGATTCACTCACTTATTTATTCATCAAATTCTCCCTGAGCTGCTAGAACATGCCAGGCACCGTTTGGGGGGCTCTCTGCTCACATGTGTGTGAGCAGCACACACATTCTGTCCCCAGCTCCATGGCGTGACCTCTGCTTTGACACTTAGGCTTGCCAGGAGACAGAGCTGGACAACAGCATCCAGGCTGATTCGGGGTTTGTCAATGAAACGGATGCTCAGCAGCACTACAAGGTCCCAGTTGAAGCCGACTTTCTCTTCGCCTATTCCACCGCTCCAGGTATCAGCCCTGCTGTCTGCTCTGCTCTGTGTCTCACAGTTCCACCGCCCACACGCAGGCTGGGGACTGTCTTAACAACCCCAAGTAGAAACTTAAACCACAAGTCCATTAGCTCGCCCTCCTGGAGGTCAGACTTCCAAATGGGTTGCCAGGCTCCCTTCTTCAGAGGATGTGGGGAAGTCCACTTCCTTGGCTTCAGCACTGTGTTTGACCCCTCTGCCTTCCTGGGCTGGTGGCCGCCTCCCTCCATTTAAAGTCAGCAGCTTCACATCTCTGACCCCTTCCATGGGCACAGAGCTCCCAACCACAGCTGGAAAAGACTCTCTTCTTTTTAGGACTCCTGGGATTACTGTGGGTCGGCTGGGTAATCCAGAACAACCCCCCATCTCCTTCCCATTGCCTGGGGCACATCTACAAAGTCCCTTTTGCCTAATGGGGGAACATGATCACAGATGCAGGGTCAGGGCCTGGACTTCTCTGGGCCATCAGGGCGCCTGATGCGGAGCGTGTCTGCTTTCCTCCCTGAGAAAGCTGGATTCTCTCACTGTTAATATTATTGGAAATCATACAGACAAATCTTTCTATAACCTTTTGCAATGTATAGTGTTTTTATGCCTTTTACCACATCTCATCCTTGTAATAATTGATGGTCGGGAAAGGTGTTTTTACTGTCCTAATTTTACAGAAGGGAAAAAAAAATTGAGCCCAAGTGATGTGTCAGGGTCAGGCAGAGATTTGGGGTCACAGTGGAGTTATGGCTCAGCTCTGGATTCCTGTAAACTGCCCCCACCACCATGCTAGGCACGAGCAGGCCTGCTCCTTCTTAACTAAGCTCCATGTTGCCTGAGTAAGTTTAATGAAAATCCCTCCTGTGTTTTGCACAAATCCCATCACCGAATTCTAATCCTCCCAGCTGCAGCAGCTGCTTGTCAAATGCTGGACACAGAGGAATTGGTTATAATAGAAAGTTGCAGTATATTTGGAAAACCAAGTCTGGCTAGATCTACAGATGTATTTTCTGAGAATGTTGACTTCACAAGTTTTAAGGATCATAAAATAATGCTGTCATCCTGCTCTTGAGAGGGAGATGGTGTGAAGAGGGCAGGTGTCTGGGTAAATAAATAGACCCTGTGTTTACAGATGCATGGCATAGATCAAACCTGGGCCAGTAGAGTTATGGGAGCTCTGAGCAGGCTCTGTCGGAACTGTAGAAAAGAAGGGTGAACTCTAGGAGGCTGTGGGAGAGGGTTTCCTAAAACGTGAGCTGCTGTAACCGAGTCTTAGAACCCACACAGCAGGAGCCAGAAAGAGGGCTCGTAGGATAGATCGATCGATAGCCCCGTGCTCTGGTGACACCACAAGACTAGATCACAGTGTGTGGTTCGCTCAGCTGCTCTAACAAAGCTCACAGACCAGGGGGCAGACGTTTGTAGCTCACAGTTCCGGAAGCTGCGAATCCAAGGACACTAATGCTCTTGGGTCAGATCCTTATCGCCTCCTTTAACATTAATTGCCTGCATGCAAGCCCTGTCTGCAAATACAGTCAAATATCTGAATTTGGGGACTCAGTTCATAGCCTAGAAGTCATGGTGTGGATCAAACCTGGGCCAGTAGTCAGGGCTCTCGTGCTGGGCTAAGCAGTCCAAATTTCTCCCTGATAAAAGGATGCAAGGAAACTGTTTTAGGGAGGAGAGTCTCAGGGTGAGGTTTGCATTCTGGAATGGCTTCCTTAAAGACCCTGACGGGTAGGGGTTAGAGGAAGTGAAGCTGGGGCAGTGACAAATGGACTTGATACACAGGTTTACCCTCGCCAGAAGCAGAGACAGAGGGTTAATGTAATGGGGTAACATAGGTGAACCCCTCACATACACTCACACATGAAAAGCTTTGTCCACAAAGTTCAAATCCTCACACTGGTGGTTCCCATATCATGTGCTGCAAGAAAGAATTCTGAGTGCCCTCAACCCCTTTACACAAATGGGTTATTTATGTTTATTCAGTAACGGAAGGATATGAATGATAATGCTGATGAGCCAGTTCTCACCAAGCGATGTGAATGATTGGCTGGAAGAGGAAGAATCACAGCTCTTCATGTGAAACAAACACAGCTTTTGTTTCACTCTGCCCTTTTAAATTGGAGGAACTGGGGTGGTGGGATCTTCCTTTGTCCCTGGATTAAGACACCTGCAGGTGCGTGACTTTGCTGCTCAAGCGGAGAAGCCGGGCATTATTGTCACCTTTTGAAGTCACAAACAGTTGCAGTGTCTACCCCGGATGTGCAGGCTAAGAGGATAACAAAAACCCAAACCTGACTTGGCTCCACACTCCCAATTCCAAGGTGCTCAGGGGGCCTTGTGCCTGCAGCTTTCTCACTTTCCCCCAACTTCCCAGATCCCTTTTAGATTCCCTCAGGGTCAAAGATGACAGGGAGGCAGGGCTGGAGGAGACAAGTTATGCGTAAGACCCAGGTCCTGAAGTGACCCTGCTTCTTATGCTCTGGCCCCGTCAGCTGACTAAAGCTGCAGCATTTCCTCTTGGGCACATCCTTGGTGCTTGGATTTGCATCTCCCTGCCTGGTTGTGCATTGTGATTCCTTCCTCAACCTCTGGGCTTCCTCCTGGGTACTTGCGTAACCTCTTTCTGCTGATGTCTCCTTAACCCTTCAGTAAATCCTATTGGACAGGACCACACCAAGAGCTGAGACAGTGGAGCCAGCGACCTCTCCCAGAGACCACGTGTGCTCTAGGAGAAAAATGCCCCTTCCCATCCATTGCTGGTGCCCGCAGGGCAATCCTACTAAGGCAGCAGGGCACTCAGCCACCTCTGGCTGCTACATTTCAGCAGCAGCAGCCAGGCTCAAGTTCTGTGTCCCCCCCCCCAGCAGGGACACATCCTGGAATTCTCAGAGGTCACTGCCAAATTCCATCTGGAGGCCCGGAGAGAAAGCAGCAGCACGCATTGCAAAGAGTGGTGGGAGTTCCAGGAGATGGATGGTTCTCCATCACTTCCTTTGGGATACTCCCTGCCCACCCTTGTCTCCCACTCACTCATTGTCTGATGTGCCTCCTGTGAGCGCCTCCATCAGGTGGAGGCATGTGCCCCAGTGGGGGCTGTCAGCAGATTTCCACCCACAACAGCAAGCACTTGTTAATGTCTCCACACACCCCAGTATGTCTGTGATGTTTGCTTTCTGAGCCTACTGCAAAATTTCCATCCTGTATGCAGAATGGGGTGGGGTGGGGGTGATTACAGAAGAGCAGGCACGGCTGCCCCAAACACACAGAATCTTTCTGGGTGGTGAGTGGAGCAGGGGCAGTCCGCGGGTCATTGTCTCTCTTCTCTCCCACTGAAGGCTGCTACTCATGGCAGAGCCCAGGAACTGGCTCCTGGTTCATACAGTCCCTCTGTGACGTCCTGAATGAACACGGGAAAAGCCTGGACCTCATTAAAATACTCACCAGGGTGAACCTCAGAATGGCCAGGAACTTCCAGTCCAGGACCGACGACCCAGACATGAGCAAGCAGCAGATCCCGAGTATCGCCTCCATGCTCACCAAGTTGCTCTACTTCCGCAAGTAACCGCTCGAAACACGGCAGCTGAGAAGCAACGGATCATTCGTCGACGAATCAGACTCCTAGGAAGTATCTAAACATTCTGAGGTGTTCTAAATTGAAGTGGAGATCATGAATGAATTTGTTTAGTTTTAATTTCAGGAAAATGTGTTGATTCAACAAGGAAAAAAACTTCATGGTGCTTTGTGTGTTTGGGTTTTAGTCTTTTTTTTCAACATTATACATTTGATGATGTTATAATTTTCTTGTATTTCCTTCTCCTTGTTGTCCCACTTACTACAACAAACATAACCTCTGCAGATGACTCTTGGTGGTGTCCACCATGATTGGTGATGACATTGGTATACAGTTTCAGAGTCATATTCGTACCCGGCAAAGAACCCCAGGGCTTGACAGAAAATAGCTTGTGTTTACCTGTAGTGCAAAAGGTGGTTATTGAGTGTGATTTGAGTCCTTTTTTTGTTGACTTAGGGAAGATTCTCATGCACAAATTCCCAGATAAGTTGGGGGAACAGGGAGAAATGTAAGGATTCAAATATGTATGAGTCAGGATCCAGGTAGAAAAATAGGACCATTCTCGGTGTTTCAGTCGAAGGAACTTAGTAGAGTAGTTGACTTACATAGATGATAGAAGAGAAGCCAAATAAATAGAGGTAGTTGTCACTGAGGGTTTTGAGGAGGTGTGGTTCCCTGTGCCCAGAATCTAAGGTTCTCCACAGGAGCTAGAACCATTCTAGGGGCTGCTGGGTGGGAAGTTGGACCCCCAAGGGGTTGTGGGAAAAGCCATAGCTGGAGATGAGGCAAGGCCTGTGAGTCAGACATGGAGGAATACCTCTCTTATGCCTTTCTTCTGCTCTCAGGTCTTCCCATGATGTGAATGTAGGTAGTCATACGCCCCAACTTGCCACAGTTCCTCTCCATTTAGTCATTCATTTATTAAGTTGTCAGATAATCTGTGGATTACCTGCCAGTTGCAAAATAATCTCTCTTTTGAATGTACTAGGAACTTTTAGATTATTTCAAGCCCTATTCTCAATAAATTTCTTATTGCCTCTGGTCCTACAAATGGGGGAAAGTTTATGCCAGAGATTCTTTACTTGGTTTTCAAGGTGGTATGTCTTTTGAATTCTGGGTAAATTGCTCTTTTATTCAGCCTAGTAACTGGTTAACAAATGTTCAGATTTATTGATTAAAATGTGGTTGCTTCTAACCTGCTCAGTTTGCTTTTCTTTTGAAGATTTTTATGGCAGTGAGAAAATGAGAAAACAGGCTAAGAATTGACTCTACTAACTTGACCTCAATACAAAATGTAATTCATGTTTCTTTTGAAGCTGGAACACTAATAAAAAATTAAATTAAAAAATCAGTTAGGAAGCTGACAGTCTTCACATAAAGACTTACTCAACATATGAAACTGTTTGTGATGGGCTGCCTGTGATTAATTTGGCAACAAAATTAAATGATATACAAGTATCTTCTTTCAATAAGGAAATTATTTAGGGCCAGTTTATTAAGCTTGTCCCTGGTTTCCTGCCATCTAAAATATACCAAATGTTCAAAATTTAAGTGATCATGGGTTAAGAATCTATCTTCTTATTCCCAGAATTCACTTTGGAAAATAGACAATCTGATTAAAGTTCCTTATTATAGAGCTAAAGTCACCTAAGTGCTTTTGTAACTGAAAGTAACTATCACAACACCCTAGCTGTTTGCCTTGTGACTTTCATTATAGAAACAATCCCAAGTATCAGACTTATTTTTTTAATTCTCTGAGAAGTTACAAGTATTAGGCTTACAGATAAGCCAGAGGTATAAATTATTATTAAGAATGAGCCTCCACCCTTCAGTACTTTATTGGACAGAAGTGTTTATCAGGATCACAAATCCTACTCCAAGTTGGATATGCCTTCAGTCACGCCACCATTCTTAAAGCTTTGATCTTTTTAGAACCTGGGATTTTGATGACCTTTCCTAAAGTCTTCAATCTTGATAGACATTCCTGGTTCTCACTGTTAGTTAGAACCCAAGTTTCCCCATGCAGGGGAGTGACAGAGGGCACTGCCATTGTCCTGAGTAAAACTGCACATCTGTGGTGTCCCCACTGGCATACTTTAGACTCTGCCCTGAACTTTCTCGAAGTAAATTTCCATAAACCATCACACATCTGTGTTTATGAAGTGCCCAATATAGGCCCCAAAACAAAGACCTATGTTCAGTGGATTCTTATGGTTTAAACCTCAAAGAAACCAAGAACTTTCTATGAAAAAAGTCTGTGATGTCCCTAAGAGGGCCACTGGCTGACAATCCCTGTATCACCTGAAATCTTCTGTTACCAGCTACTCTGGTTGCCTTTTGGCTTCCTAGGAGCATACCCTTCCATCTAGCTATTCATCTTTCAGGTCCTCTTCCAGCAAATAGTTGGTCAGGCGAGAAGCTACAGTGGTCACCAATTTATTGCCCGAATTAATCTGTGTCATTGGCCAGCAGACAAATAGTAACGGTCTAAGGATAACTGATTTCCGAAGCAATGTGATCCTTATGAATTCTTCAAAGTTCTAAAAATCAGAAGATTCTTTAACACTGTTTGCCATGTCAATATTTAAAATCATGCAACACCAAGTGCATGCACAGTGTGTCCAGCATCCCCTGGGAGCTTGTTGGAAATACAGATTCTCAGACTCTGCCCCAGACCTACTCAGGAATCTGTATTCCAGCCAGATCTCTGGTGTATCTGTGTGCACAGTGAAGCTTAAGCTCAGTTTTGAGAACCAGGACTAGTTGTTAACACACTTACACTTCCCCTTCACACTGAACATAGATCAGATACTATGCTTAAAATGAATTAGTAAAAGAACATGTACATTTCAGAGCTTTTAAAGAAGACATGTTTTCAAGCATCTATTAATCTTTAGCAAAATCCTCTTTTAAAACAATCTGGTGTCCTTCAGTTATATGATATACTTTCTATACCCCTCTCCATTTAAATGAGCCCTCTGCTGAATGATATAATAGAATTGTTTATATGTTCTCAAAGTGTCTGCAAATGTGAATTATAGCCTTTAAAATGTCTTCATAAACAGAACGGGATTAAGGGAGCCATTCCTTGCATGTTTTCCTTGGCTGCAGGAGCTGTTTTGCATTGAAGCTGCAGAGTTTGTCTCTTCCCACCTGTCCACAGAGCCCAGTGGACACCCAAAGAATTATTATCTGTCTCTGCCAGTGTGTCCTCAGGCCATAGATCAGCCTTCCAATAGAGCTTGGGGCTTTGTTTTGGATCAGGTGGCAAATACTTCTTTTTGATTCATAAATCATTAACACAAACACATCAAGAGCACATTTGGAAGACCCAGCCACCAACTCAGTACTGACGTGGACATGGAAACTCCATTAGCTTACAGATTCATGCGTGAACAGTCCTCAGAAAATATGTGATCAACGTTTGAAAACACGAAAGCCAAATATGATGAGTTAGCTTTGGCATGAGTCTGGGCTTACACGACCCTATAAATATTTATGGCGCTACAATTTCCTAATAAATTTGTTGTAAGCATTTAAAGCCAAAGTATGTGTAAGAAGTTAAATTTGGAAGGCACATGGGATTTTGGCTGCAGACACACAAGACCAAGGCTTTCTTGAGTTTTGATGATTTGACCCATTGTAAATGGCATGAGATTTGGGAAAAAGAGATGTATAAACAGTCTGACAGATATGATCAAAATTGTTAGCTCAGCTTGAATCTTTTAAGGCATACCTCAATCAGCATGACATCAAAAATTTTCCCTCAGGATCCAAGGTTAGCAGGGGAGCTTTTGATCATTAATTTTTAGAAATTTGTCTTTGAGTTCTAACTCTGCCCTGCCACTTAATATTCATGTAATTTTAAGGAATCAGTCCTCATCTAAACATGAGGATGTAATGCTGTGAAGATTAAATGACATAGTGTATTTGAAGTGCTTAGCACAATGCCTGGCATAAAACACTAAGTAAATGGTAGCTACCAAAGATGATGATATTGAAGGTGATGACGATGATATAAAGAAGATGAAGAAATGATGATGATGATGATGATGGTAGTGGTGATAATGGCGGTGGTGGTAATGATGGGGATGGGGATGAAAATACATGGTGATGGTAATGATAATGGCGATAGGATGTGGTCATGATGGTGACAATAATGGTGGTGATGGTGATGGTCATGATGGTGAGGATAATGATGGGGGTGGTGGCAATAATCATAATGATACAACGATGATAGTAATGGTGATGATATGATGATGATCATGATGGTGATGATGTTGATGATGAAGATGATGACATGAGACTCATGCAAAGGTTAGAATGAAATATGTTACCCCAGTCCTCTACTCACCCTTTGTGCCTCAAGGACTACTTATTTATTTTTTTAAAGATGTATGTATTTATTTATACAAGCCAGAAGCACGGGAGGGTGAGAGAATTCACCAGAGCCAGAGCAGGGAGCAGAGCAGGCAGACTGACGAAGTACACTGCTGAGGGGAGCATCGGGCAGCAGGAGAGGTCTGCGCGCCATGTGGGACCCTCGCCCAGCGGCCGGGGATCAAACCAGTGCTGTAGTGGCTGCAGCCAGCTTCACAACCCAGTGCTCAACCGCTGCGCCACCGGGGAGGCCCTTCAAGGACTACATCTTGATCGTACCTTCTAGTCTATGCCGTTCAAAGTAAGGTCTCCCAGAAGTGCAGGGGTTACCCCAAAGTGATTTATGCATCCAATATTTAAAGAGTCCTACTAAAGAGCTTATAAGAGATAGTCTGCAAAGATAACAAAAGTGATGCATTTCACAGAGGAGGTAAATACATTTAGTAAAATAAAGGCTGTACAGTGTTCATACACTACTTTGGATGACAGGTGAGGAGATGTCTCTCTCCTTGGAGGGGCATACAGAGAGGCATTTCCAGAGGAAAATCTAATTTTCATTTTAGCCTCCCAACAAGACTGAGGAGGCAGCAAAGAAAAGAAAATGAATGTCAGCTGGTAGATGATTCCTTCAGTGCGTCTTGAACGATTCCTTCAATCAT